TCACTTTTTTTAGTAGCTACTTTATTTCATTATGTATGATGGTGTTTGATTGAACATGAAGTTTGAGATGTTAAATTGACTTGCATATTATATTAGTGTTAGTAGAAGAAATTATCAAATTAATTCTGTAATAGGTACGAAATTAGGCCTCCGTATCTTTGGTCTAGTGGTAAGAGCTAAGCTCGTGATGTGTGGGTTAGGCGCACGTCACAGGTTCGAACCGTGCTGCGGTTTAAGTGGAGAAGGGTAGAGGCTTAGTATCCATCAAGTTTGAACCATGCACCGCTGGCGCTCGGAGATTTCTCGGTTATAAAAAAAAAAAACAGAAAAAAACTAAGAAGTTAGTGTGATAAAAAACATCACATGAAGATCAAAATTTGATTTCTTAAAGTTGTGAAAGTTGTATGAAGTAATCCTATTAACGGAAAGATATCAAATATTTTTGGATTTAATTATAATGACAAGAGTGTCATATAAATTGCACCATAGGGGATACTTTATAATATTACTCCATATGTTTTGTTTTTCATGTAATATTTTGAAAATGAATGAATCCATCTCCTTCTTTTTTTTCCGTACTCAAATTGCTTGATATTGGATTTATTATTAGCATAAGGGAACCTTGTAAAGAGGCCGCTTTTTTGGTTTATTGAAAGTGGATGATCTACTGTTGCATCTGGTCTCTTATCCTCTCTCTGTGTTAATCTCGTGTTGGATTAGTGCCAAAGTTTCTCGAACATTAGTTACCTAAATCTTTCAATGTAGGAAGAGATATTTTGAGCCTCTTATTTGGTTTGTTTTTGGTATTGGTTTGTGGTACTCAGTTGTCTTTGCTTTTTCTTCTTTCGAATGTACTTTGGACCATTTGCGATTCAAATTTCATTTGTTTTACAAACACAAGGCTATTATTCAGGAAAATGTTTTCTTCTGCAGGGTTATGGTGGTGCAGATGAAGCAAAAATGCTCCAAAGGCATCTGTATGGAACACCTGTGAAGATTGGTGTAGGTGCAAACAGGGCCGTTACGGCTGCCAGTTTTCTGAAAAGATATGGCCACATCAGCCCTTGCAAGCATGGTAACACTGATTTGGGCAGACTTTTCTCTGATAACAAAAAGGGAAATAGTTCTTGTTGTGACCAAATTGGGGTTGCAATCCTAGATGACGGAATGCAGGTCTGTGCCAAAACTGTATTTTAAGTGTTAACCACCTACTGATCGAACAGGAACTTTGTTGTTTGTATTTAGTACAACTTAAATTGAGTTTAAAATGTTTCCCATCTTTTTGTGGAATATGTAATACCTCTCCAATTCCTGCTGTTGTGCTTAGTTGCAATCCAATATCTTCTCCTCCCCCCCCCCCCCCCCCCATAATTATAACTATTTGATCTTCCAAAAAATTCAAAATTGGATACTGTTTTTATTTCAATCCCCAGACTTTATATCCCAACCGAATGATGGCTTTGCTTCTGACTAGGATTTATTTAGGAGTATGATTGTGGGCTCTTTATTTTACTTGTGACGTAGAACTTGTACTCACATTTTGTTTGCTGTAAAAATCTGAAAGTAGCATATCAGTTTGTGGCGTGACGTCGAGATTGTAATGGTGAATGCAATGATTCCATGGGGGAACCATCAGTTAATTCCACTTGGACCATTAAGGGAACCTTTGACTGCACTTGCACGCGCAGATATAGTTGTAATCCATCATGCGAACTTGGTATTAACACTCTCTTTCTTCTGTGTATCTGAGATAGCTTCTTGATACTTGTGAAGCATGACATTTGATTAGTAAAATTAGAAAATCAAATAGGACCACAGACATCCATTTTAATATGTTTGAGTCACGCAGATCTCAGAAAAAGACGTTGAGGCCATAGCATCAGAAATGCGAACAGTAAAAAATTCTCTTCCTATATTCTTGAGCAGATTGGCGCCTTTATACTTTCTTAAAGCTCGCAACATGTCTCACAAATTGGCTTTGATGGACATCTGTAGTACACTTGTCTTATGTGTCTCAGCGATTGGATCTGCTGAATCTTTTGTTGAAACAATAAAGAAGGTACAGGTTTGAATTCTCTTGTTTGATACTCATACAACCATCTATTTTCCTTCCTTATCTTTGAAGCTTTGAGGTGGTTGAGCTTTTATTCAACTTCTCTCGTTTGTTTTATTACCACTACTTATTATTCTCTCTTCTGTTCTAAAAAGTTGTTAAAACTTTGCAGCTGGGGCCAACATATGTTGATCGGCTAGACTTTAGTGACCACCATTTATTTCAAGCTAAGGTAGGTGACATCATCTATTTTTGTTTGGCTTCTCTTTTTACTCCCCTGTTTACTCATAGACTAGTAACGAGGACATTGTAATTGTGAAGGTCGACATTTAACGTAATTTCTCTCACAACATGGCACTCATAGATCTGTCATACACCTATTTTCCGCCTGGATTCTATGAATTGATGTTTGTGCTAGACATTTTCATTTTTTTTTTCTTTTTCAAAAACTTGAGTATTCACTTTGGTCCATAATAATGTTAGGATATTGACATGATCAGAATGAGACTTCGGAATCTTCAATCAGACTTTGCTATGAAGCCTATTGTTGTTGTAACAGAAAAGGTAAGTAGATCTTGCAAAAGGTATCATCTTTTTTGTTTTGTTTCCTGGAAAGAGATTAATACATGATCAGAACTCAGAAAAGGTGAATAAATCTCACGAATAGGTATGATTTTGTCCGTAAAAAGATAATGTGATGTTGAGAATCTGGTGATTAGCAAAATACATGTGACAGAACCAAGTTACCTGGAGTTTATACACGCCGACATAAACAAGCTGGTACAGTTAATATAGCAAATATATTTTCCTTAAATATTTTACAGGATCAGAAAATGCAAATAGTATAATTTTGATCCTAAGACAACTGCATTTACCTCAGTGTCTGTACGATCTATAGTTGTTAGCAATTTGTATATAGAAATGGTCCAATCGTTCTGAGACTTGCTCATGTGGTAGATGGCACCCTTGTTTTGTAGTGGGCTCGGCTGGCCGAGGTAGCCCTAGAATGAAAGGCATGAAAACTCATCGCTCTTCACTCCTGGTGTTTTTTGTTAAAAAGATATTAACTATCTGTCGACGTGCTGGCTGTGTTAATTCGAAAAACATAGACCATTAAATTTGTCGTTCATGACCTTCCTCTTGCTATTGAGAAACTATTGTCACTGGGTATGTAGTCAGTTTTAATTTAAAGAGTTCAAATTAAGCCCCCCTCTGTTTAGCATGATTCACGTACACAGTAGCCAACAATTATTACGATTTTCTCACAATCACTGGTCTTGATTTGCTAGGACTATGATAGAGCTCCCGAGGTTCTTACATATTTGGATCCATATGAAGTGTTGGTGCTTTGCTCCTGCTTGCAAATTCTACCTCATAAAGGAAGCACAGAAGAAACATTTAAGAAATGTCTGTGGCAGCATTTGGAAGTTAGCTGCAAGGTCTAATCTAACACTTTTTTTGAAGGACATATAAGCTTCAATTCTTAATGCTCAGAGTAGGTAAGCTCGATAAGTTGCACTTGAGGTGACTTCTACACAGAGCTACATTGAGGTATACTGTCACGACCCGGAATTTCCACCTTCGGGACTGTGATGGCGCCTAACATTTCACTTGCTAGGCAAGCTAACGTTAGAGTAATTATTTTACCAATTTTAAACACTTTGAATAGTTTAACCACTCAGACAGAAATGAAGCTAAAATGAAGTACAAGTAGCATAATAACCCAATCATCTAGTACGATCCGGATCTGGAGTCGCATGTACACGAGCTTCTAGAGGTTCTACAAGTAGGGTTTGAAATAAGTACAACTGTCTCGAATGAAAGGAACGATAAATAGGGAAAGAGAAGGGAATTTCAAGGTCTGCAGACGCCAGCAGATCTGCCTCGAGTTTCCAAATGCTAATCCAAGCTGATGCACCTTATGTATATCTGGGGCCAGTACCAAAATCTGCACAAGAAGTGCAGAGTGTAGTATGAGTACAACCGATCCAATGTACTCCGTAACTGTCGAACCTAACCTCGACGAGGTAGTGACGAGGCTATGACAGGACACCCACATAATTAAACCTGTACAGACGAAAATATATTGTCACGACCCAATTTAGGATCATGACTGGCGCTTTGGAGCAAGTGCCCCCAAGTAAGCCTCATGGGTATTTTACAGAAAATCGGATAGAGTTTTCCCTGTTTTTGGACTATCCAAAAAAATTCCTGTCTCAAAATCAACAAACAACCATCCTAATATCAAACCAAACAATTGACGACTTATCAATTAACCAAAACAAGTCTCCACCATTACTAATCAACCCACTAACAACCAGAAATACTAATTTATTTCCACTTTCGATAATAAAGAACGATACTCAACATAAGACTATAATAACAAAAGAATACTCATGACACTAAAATAATGACTATGGAGCGACTCTAAGAGTTCAAAGAAAAGACTAACAAGAAATAAAATCTCCGCCTACGCGAACAAGTGCGAGGCTCACCAAGAACTATCAACCTGTGCGCTCTAATTATTGAAATCCTCGCCCGCGTCAACTGCTGTCTCTGTAAAAAAAATTAGCGGGGAATGAGTCGCTAGCTCAGTGAGTAATAACAGTTAACCACAACTGTTTTCATTGGGGACAAGTCAGAAAACATGCTAGTATCTCAAACAGAAAATAACATAAAAATGCCCTTTCAGAAACAATAAATAATTTTCAGTCTCATCATGTTTTTCTTGTAGTATAATACCATTAACAATTCAGTAATAAGCTCGGTAATCACTGTATAATATCAATATTCGCATTTGGGAGGTTTCAATGAATGAATCATGTAATCGGTATAACTGTGGACTTCTTCGCAAGAAGTCAAATATAACGGTAGTCCCTACTCGAGGTTAATCGGTAACGATATGCTAGTTCTACCTTCCCACTAGCGAGGGTTGTAACGATTATCGGTAATTACAAGGTGCACCAGGTCTAATGAACCTGCCGTTAGCTACGGAATCCTTCAAAGTCTATTCTCATTTATACTTGTCTATAATCCATATTATACTCATAGGAAAATATTTTTAAAACAATATAGGGCATTTCGGTTCTTATCAAATCATGTAATTGCATTTCGATACAGTAAATTCAAGTAACGATAAAACATCTAGTGCCAACAAGAATATTTAACACAACGGTAATCATGTCAAACAACTAATTCGGTATCATATCGAGTAAAAGACTTGTCCCACATGCAACTCAAAATAATCGGTAACATATTCATATTAAAAATCATGTGTAAATCATGCAAGTTATGAAAACACAAATTGCGGTAAGATTACTACTCACAGTACTCGTGCCGAAATACCAAATGCTTCACCTCGAGCAATTCGTACAAATTCCTCCAATCAATCTATAATTACATAATATCGATCTCATGTTAATTGCCTCATTTAGGCTAAATCCATCACTAATTTAGAATAGCCAATCCTTCGAGTTCTATATTTTATCATCAGTTCGCCGAATTATATTTACCCACGCTATGAGTAATTTGAATTAGTCCAAAATCTTTTAAATAAAAAGGTATTTATATGGTTTATTCCCTGTACTGTTCAATTTCCTTAATCGTGTGCATAAATTGAAACTGAAATAACATTACTGTCCATAATATTCCTTCTTAATTGGTACTTATCTTTTGTGCTCAATACTAGACTTACCACATTCAAACCCAAATTCGATAATGTCATTGCAATATAGTTAAACATCAAAACTCAATCCTTGCACCCTAACTTAATTTAACCTAACAAAGATCATATATAATGAGACTAGTTTAAGTACAAATACATTAATACCCTTCTTTTTCCAAGTGAATTTAGCCTACAGTAACATCGACCAACTTCCAATTGCATAATTTGTCCAGAATAACTCTTATTGGTATTAAATTTCTTATAACTTGTGAAACCCTTCAAATATATGAACCGAGACAAAAAGAATTACCAGAAGAAAAGAACCCAGATGAGAAATTCGAATATTACCCATAAGAACCAGTGCGTATTTAAAAAATTTCAAGGTTTGGTTCCAACATTTTTCTTCTTTCTTCTTCTCCTTTTGAAATTCCTTTTCTGCGTTTTCTGAAGCAGAGCCCTTTTTCCCCTTCTTTCTTTCGTTGTTTTGATTTAGTTACAGTTATGGGCTTTGGCCCTTTTAGTGAATCCTTATTCTTTTTCCTTTATTTTTTTGATTTGTTTTTTTTTATAGCTAGTTTATTATTATTATTATTATTATTATTATTATTATTATTATTATTATTATTATTATTATTATTTTGCTAAAGACCAATACACCCTTACTAAAAAAAATATAGGGTATTACATCTTTCCCACCTTATGAAATTCGGGCCCCGAATTTAACTCATGTATGTACCTGTAGACTGAAACAAATGGGGGTACTTGACTCGCATAACATCTTCTATTTCCCAAGTAGCTTCTTCAACTGTATGATTTCGCCATAAGACTTTTATGAACTCAATTTTTAGGGGTGTTCAAAATCGAACCAAAACTGAAAACCGAACCGAAACCGAAGCTTAATGGCTTATTGGTATCGGGTTAACGGTTTAACGGACGGGGAACGGATTGAAATTTTTTTATTAACGGCTTATCGGTTTGGGGGCGGATTATTCAATTTTCTTAACGGATAATCCGTTAACCCGTTAAGAATATATATACATTAGAGGGAGGTTGCCCGTGAAAATGCACGGGCTCAACATATGAAGTGTTCAGCTTCCTTGCACGGGCTCAACATATGAAGTGTTCAGCTTCCTTTTGAGTTTCACGTATCAATAAACTGCTCCATATAAAAATGAAAATAGATGACCATACCCAAATAACATTTACATCAAGTGCATAATAGAATATTATGATAATTTTCTTTTTTGGATAATATCTGCAAAAGAGAACCTAAGAACACTGTACAACTTTAAGCTATTCGGTTTGTATCTTCCAGCGCAGTTCAATTAATCATTATTTGTATCAACTCTGTTAGGTGCTTCCTGGGGTCATTCCCAAAATTACAGGGAATGTTTGCATCTGCAAGCATGACATGAACCCTTCAATCACCATATTCATTGAGTACCAAATTAGTCCCCGAGTTCGTAGTGAGCCTTTTTCAATCCTAAAATAGAAGTGTGAAATCTTTTGCTTCTTAAAATCATGTATAAAAGTTTCAGCTTCAAATTCAGAATTTCTATTCTATTTAAAATAAAGATTGAATTAGGCCGATAAATCGCCCGATAAGAGATAAATCGATACCAATCCGCCCGACATCTTATCGAGTGGCTAGCGGATTAATACATTTAAAAGCCGATAACCGATAAGCCAAACCGTTAAGAGCAAATAACCGCCCAATCCACCCGATAAGCAACCCTATCAATTTCTTTTGACCGTAGCTTTCTTACTTGCCTATCAACAATAGCCGTCGGCTCCTTCTCGTAAGACAACTTCTCATCAAGCGGTATAGTTGGTGCTTCAAGCACCTGAGATGAGTTTGATATATATTTTCTTAGCATTGAGACATGAAACACTGGATGAATAAAGGGCAACTCAGGAGGAAGATCCAAACGATAAGCCACAGCTCCCACTCGGTCTAATATCTCATACGGTCCTATAAACCTGGGGCTCAACTTGCCTCTTTTCTCAAACCGCATCACACCTTTCATAGGAGAGACTCGTAGGAACACTTTGTCCCCAATTGTGAACACTAAATCTCTTCTTCTCTTATCAGCATAAGACTTTTGTCTGCTTTGAGCTGTAAGCAATCTCTGTCTGATCAACTGGACTTTGTCCATAGCGTCTTGTACTAAGTCAGGTCCCAATAAGTTGGTATCAGAGCTTAGGCTTTAAGTCCCGAGTCATGGAGAATTGTTTAGTAGAGTCTTGTTCATGGGTATGTAGGGGCCCATACTTATGATCTTGAGGCTACTGAACATCTAGGAATGTTTTCCCTTCTTTCATTCTTCGATCGTGCGTTGAGATAACTTGAGATTGACTTTGGAATAATTCTTTCGTAGATGGCTAGGACACGCACACCCTCATTTGCTGGACGTGGTGCTGGATGTGGTACTACCCGGGGTGGCGGTCAAGTTGGGGTTCATCAAACTAGAAGACAGATTGCTCCTCAACCTGAAGTTGGGAACATGGGTCAATCCCAAGCTGCTATGCCAGATCAAGTGCAAGAGCAGGGAGTTCAGGATGCTACCAGTGCCAACTGTTGTACCTATTGTTGCCTTACCTGCAGACGCAGTGGCAAAGTTATTGAATGTGTTAGAGGCATTGGTGCCTACTCAGGGTGGAAGTTCAGCTCCTCAAGCTACTTTACATACACAAGCACCCGTACAGACTCACGCTTTCGGGAATAAGGAAGTATCCCTACAAGAGCTCCTAAAAGTGAAGTCACCAAAATTCACAGGTTCTGATAAATCCTTAAAGTTTCTTGGATGGGACACTCAAGGCATTACGTGCTCTAGGATGTTCTAGTGAGAGAGCCGTGGAGCTCGCAGCATACAAACTAGAGGATATGGCCAACACATGGTATGAAACTGTATTGCTAGGAAGGCCAGCATGAGCAGCACCACTGACATGGGACAAATTCACTAAGTTGTTCATGAATCATTTTCTTCCAGACAGC